CAAGAGACAGGCAGAATCCTGCAAGGGCCTAGTCATCGTGTTACCTGTAGCCTATGGGTGATATAATCCCAGATTACACTACACAGCCCAGAGCAGTGGGAGTTCTGTATTCCACAACAAGACAGAGCAACTTGAACATCAACACCTAAATGTGCTCAGGCAAAAGGATTAGGAGTTGACCAAAATGATTCAAAAGAAAATTACTTATTAATATATTTAACATATAAATATATTGACTTATTGATGTATTTTCAAATTATGAAAATAACTGCAAAAATTCTCAAATAATTCACTCTAAAATAATGTCTGAAAATTAACGAAAAAAAGTAAAAACAGTCTGTACAGTGATTGGTTAAGAAACAGAATTTTCTGTCCTCAAGGTGTATGGCAATAGGACCTAAGACATATTCTTATTACCTATCATCAACTTAAATTTGTCTCAGCTTTAAAAGTGGAAGGTTGAACTATATAATCTTAAGGTCCCTGGGAGCTAAAAGTTCTACAAATACTATACTTTAAACATTTATTGCCCATAAAAATGTATTATTAAACATGCTATTCCTCATAAAAATTCCAGAAAAGGCAGGGGCAGGGAACATATAAAACAAAGGGGTATTATCTCCAAATTTCATAATTTTCACTCAGTGGGCACTTAGATTTCTACTCTCATCCTTAAGAGTTTCCTTCTAATGTCCTTTAGACTGAAAAGTACAAACATGATAAAAACTGTATACTAGATAAGAATATGAGTGAAGACCAGATGAGTTGTGGGATGACATCAAGGACATCATAAATGAAGCAAAAAAGTCACTAAAAAGACAGGAAAGGAAAGGAAGAAAAGACCAAAACGAATCTCAGAACAGAATCTGAAGCTTGCTCTTGAACAGAGAGTACGTAAAGCTAACAGAGAAGAATGTGCTGTAAACAAGATTTTAAAGGGCAGCTCAAGAAAACAAAGTAATAGTATTATAATGAAATGTGCAAAGACCAGGAGTTAGAAAATCAAAAGGGAAGAACACGCTCAGCATTTCTCAAGCTAAAAGAACTGAAGAAAAAAATGCAAGCCTTGAGTTGCAATACTGAAAGATTCTATGGGTGAAATATTAAACAATGCAGGAAATGTCAGAAGATGATGGAAGGAATACACAGAGTCACTGTACCAAGAACAACTGGTTGGCATTCAGTCATTTCAGGACATAGTATATGATCAAGAACCAATATTGAAGGAAGAAGCCCAAGCTGCACTAAAGGAACTGGCAAAAAAAAACAAGGCTCCAAGAACTGATAGAATACCCACAGATATGTTTCAGCAAATGGATGCAGCTCACTTGTTTATGCCAAGAAATTTGGAAGACAGCTACCAGGCCAACCAATTGGGAGAGATCCATATTTGCACCCCTTCCAAAGAAAGGGAATCCCACAGAATGCACAGATCATCAAACTGTATCATTAATATCACATGCAAGTAAAATTTTGCTGACGATAATTCAAAACTGGTTGGAGCAGTATATTGACAAGGAACTGCAAGAAATTTAATGGATTCAAAAGGGGGCATGAAACAAGAGATGTCATTGCTGATGTCAGATGGATCTTGGCTGTTTACTTGTGTTACTGACTATGCAGACATTCGACTGTGTGGATCATAACAAATTATGAATAACATTGCAAAGAATGGGAATTCCAGAACTTCACTGCATTCATGAGGAACCTGTACACAGACCACAAAATAGTCATTTGAACAGAACAAGGGATACTACATGGTTTAAAATCAGGAAATGTGTGTGCCAGGGTTGTCTCCTTTCAACATATTTATTCAATCTGTATGTTAAGCAAATAATCAAAGAAGCTGCACTATATGAAGAACATGGCATCAAGATTAGAGGAAGACTCATTAAAAACCTGCAATATGCAGATGATACAACCCTGCTTGCTGAAAGTGAAGAGAACTTGAAGCACTTACTGATGAAGATCAAAGACTGCAGCCTCAGTATGGATTACATTTCAACATAAAAGAACAAAAATCCTCACAACTGGACCCATAAGCAACATCATTATTAACAGAGAAAAGACTGAAGTTGTCAAGGATTTCATTTTATTTGGATCCACAATCAACC